AATAATGGTTCTCCTAGAAAGTTACTGTCCTGTTTGAGGACTTGGAGAATCCAGTCCTTCCTGTAGCATATGGAGGTTTAAGTAAACATTGTGCATTTCTAAAGATAAAGTCAGGTGACAATTATGGTGGTGTTCCCCATGCCCCCCCAGCATTTGAGGGGGCTGACAGAAAGTTGTGAGGTTTTTTTTGAAAATGAAAAAAAGTTTCATTTCAGAACAAAAACTAGCAGTTGGTAGATTAATTCCTACATAAGAGAAATGTAGTCTTCTGTCTAGTTCAGATCAATTTTTTAATCGATCGTTTAACTTTTTTTTTTTAAGAGGCTGGCATGTGATAATTCTGTGTGCTATACCAGGATCAGGGCACAGTTTTGCTCTTGATCACAAGAGTGATCTCTGTCTGAACACATACAGAGGTTCAATAAGGAGAGTGACAGAATAGAGGAGCTCTGTTTGGTACCTGTGTATTGCATACATACTACTTGATTTTACTTTTTATGCCAGAAGGCTTTGAGTTGAATCCTCTGCTCCACCCTAGAGCCCTCTGCCTGGTAATAGCGATACATTCCTCCCTTGCATCCTGCAGAAAAAGTACTGAGCTGTTAGGACTTCCACTGTATGCTGCTCTGCAGATGCCACTATATTCCATCCCAATCCTAATTTTAGGTTTTTTACTATTCAATGCTGTGAAAAGGAACCTTGTGAGATTTAATCAGCTCTCTCACTGAGAGAGCTGTGCCAATTATTTTCCTATGGGTGGCACCTTTAGCTGTGGTGGTGGGTTACTGGCGGTTGTTGTCCCAGTGTTTAGGTACAAGTAAGGTAAAAAATGATGTTTTTCAGAAACTGTCTTTTTGTGGTGAGATGACTCTGAACAATAGAGACATGTATCTTCTTCAGTGCTTTGCAAGCCCTTGCCAGTCCCTCTCCAGTATGATTTGTCTGTGTCTCAGGGAGTTGTTGTTTTTTAAGATGGTGATTTATAATTCTGAAGCAAATTGTAATTTCTTTATTCATTTAGTGTCTGCATGCTTTCCAGTTGTGTGTTTTTGGGGTTTGTTTGGGTTTGGTTTTTTTTTTTTTTTGGTCTTGACACTGAAATTTGGTTTTCATTCTTGGCTTTAAAACCAACAAAGTTTGTTCTAAACCCAAGCTATGCTTCTTGAGCACCTTAGCTCCAGACAGGGCAAGGGTCTATGTGTGATATGAATGTTAAGGGGGGGAAAATGACTATTGTAAGAGACGCATCAAGGAGAGGTTGTGCGAGTGAATATCAGCCAGCTACCAGGTCTGCTGCCTGAGCTCTGTGTCTGCGCTGATCAAAAGAGAATTTCTCTAATCCAAGGCTTGGGAGAACTGAGCCATTCAAAGTGGTCGTGTGTAGCATATAAATTTGGGAACAGAATTGGCCCTGTGTCTCTAGACGTCCAATCAGTCACTAACTCCCCATTCAATTCATAGACAAATCGGGACCAGCTGTAGCACAATTAAAGTTGACAGCTCACCAGAGGATAGGCACACATTTTACAAAGTATGAAAAGTATGCAAATCACCTTCCTTTAGAAAGGGGCAGCCATCTTGCTGGCTAGCAGTGCTGCTTGAGTGGTTGCTCTTATTTAAGTTAATTAGCCAAGGAGGAGTGCAGTGGTTACTACCGACAGGGACAGGAGGGCACTGGCAGATGGGGTCAGAAATCTTATGGTCCCTTTTGTCTGCCCCCTTCTCAGGTCTGACTGTATTTACAACTAGGATTTTAAACCCAGTTCTACCTTACTCATGTGGAAGCACTTGCACAAAGGACTGCTGCCTAAGGCCTATTAAATATGACTTATCTTTTATTTCAGCTGGTTTTCAAATCCCATTTCTTCACAAGCATCTTTAACTGTAAAGCAGTTGTCTCTTGAGACCCCAGAAACTTGCAAATACAGAAGTAGTTTCTAATACAAGACCTGAAAACCCTACCATTTGTACAGGAAGTGAAGTTAAAGGTGTTCTTGTAGCAATAAGAAACTCAGATGAAAATATCCAGAAGACTTTAAGTGCATAGTAGCTCTCCCTACACAGGAAGACAGAACACTTACCAGTCCTGGCCAATCTGCCATAAAGAGGAGATTCTTCCTCAAACCAGGTTCTCAAACATTTAAAAAAAGTAGATTCTCAGAACATGGCCGTTTTATATGTAATAAATTTTGTGCAGTTTAACTGTGTGTTTGGTGGGCACTCTTCATCATTACTATCTCCACCAGCGTTCCTGTGAGTTGGTGGAGCTGTGGACTGTGGTGCACTGTTAGCCAGTTAGGGCTAATGCTTCCTCTCTTCTGAAAGACCCTCTGTATATTTTGTTTTCCCCATGTGAGGTTGTTCATAAGCTCCTGGACATGGAAGATGCTGGTCCAAAACTCTGCTCAGACAGGGGCAAAGTGAAGATCTATGTCTCCTGTATGCCAGGTACGATGAAGATGGAAGCAACTGTGCACAGGCCCATTAGGGGAAGTTTAGTAAAGACAAAAGAGTGTTTCTCACAGTAGATGTTAAACAAGTTTAATGAAGGCCAGTATGCCTAGCAGTATGGCATTAATGGAGTTAGATGCCCAAGATGGTGTCTTTTCAAGTGGTAGTCTTTAGTTTCCTTTTGTAATGGTTTTGCATGTATAAGTTGCTGTTAAATACTTTTTCTCATGTGGGTACAGTAAAGATAAAAATGGAATGTTAGTTATATGAATCCTGTAGTACTGGTGGTCATCTAAATACTTAGGAGACATTGTCACTTGTGATAAGAAGGTTTTTTTGCTGTTTTAAATTAGAGTTCCTGAATAATTGACACAGTATGAGATTTAAAACACATAATTTTAATACCCCCACAGGGGGAAAATATAGCTTATAAAAACCAAAATGATGAGGAAGAACAGATAGGTACTTGAAAGAAGAGCAAGGAGGTTGTGGTGGGTTAACCCAGCCAGCAGCTAAGTGCCTACACAGCTGTTTGCTCCCCGCTTCCCCAGCATGACAGGGGAGAATAGGAAGAGCAAAATCAAGAGAGCTTTTGGGCTGAGATAGAGGTTTAGTAAGTGAAGGAAATGGGGAAAAAAAACAAGTGATGCAATGACATAACACCACCTCCCGCAAGCTGACTGATGCCCAGCCAGTCTCTGAGCAATGGCTGCCTTGGTAGACAGAAAAACCGCACCTTCTTCTGCTACCCCAGTTTTATTGCCAAGCATGATGTTATATGGTATGGTATACCCCTTTGGCCAGTTCAGGTCAGCTATCCCAGCTGTGTCCTCTCCCAGTTACTCATTGAGGGGTGGGGGGTATAGTTAGAAAAAGCTGTGACACTGCACAAGCACTGCTCAGCAATAGCCAACACACTGGTGTATTATCAACAATTTTAGCCACAAAGCCCAAACACGCCACCCCAGGGGCTGCTGTTAAGACAGTTATCTCACTCCTAGCCAGACCCAGTACAGAAGTATTAATTTGTGTGTGCATGTTCATAACATCTGTTTCTCCCAACACCACCCAAAACTGAAGGCAATCCTGTTACTTGATGTTAGTGTAGTCAAAGTTTTATTCCTCCTACACTGCTGGAATCAGGTGATGACAGGACTTCAACAATTAGTTGCTCAAAAAGCAGATCTTTACATTTTCGCTCCTGAGGTTTTTCTATTGTAATCCATGTGCTTCTCTTTTGGGGGATGAAAGTCAATTATAAACAATTTATATTAAATTAATTTCAGCTAACATTTTAACTATACATGAAACAACAAAACATTAAACTGCTACTGGAAAAGTTACTTTAAGCAGTATTAAAGTAAACTGTCTTTCTAGGTAACAAGTGTATAAAGCAGCATTGACAATGGTGCTGAAATACAGTACCAGTGACGGTGTACTTTAATTAATTTAATTTAATGTTGTGTATGACAGGTTCTCAATGCTGGGACTCCAGCCTACAGCTGATCTGACCTAACAATACTGCTCTCTCTCCTTCTCAGCACAATGCTTTTAACACAGCACTCCCACCTACAGGATATCCCTTATCCTGGCTCTAATGCTCACTGGGACCCTTCTCGGATCCGATTTTTTTTCCTGCCACTAAAATGGCAGAGAATGGCAGTGTTTTCCCTTGATTTTAGTGAGATGAACTGGCTTACAGAAAAGTCCAGTGAACTCCAGAGCTGGTGCAGAGTTAAGTGGCAGGAACAGGGGCAAGGGAAATGGCAGCAGTAGCTGGATCTCCCTCCTCTGGTAGCAGTGAACGATTATGATGCTCAGTGCTTCTCTTGAAATTTGTGATGGTAGCCACAAAAAATTTTGGTAACAAGTGGAGACCTGTAATACAGGTTTTTGGCTCTATAAGATCTAAACTGTTATTCCTAATGCAAAAATAGAACCAAAAGTGTTTACAGGGCTGTTTCCTTCCTTAAACCTAAAGGAATGTTATCAAACTTTCTAAACTTATTTTCAACTGAAAGCAGGAGCAAGATTAGCTCAGAGCACAGCTTCATAGGAATGTAATGAGCTAACAGAAGTACACTCCAGTATAGCATTTGTAAAGCTATAAAGTTGGGTCTTCTAGTTCAGAAACATTTACCTGTTTCTATCATTGTACAGCATGCTATACTCAAAGAATACTCCACAAATAGGTCTGTAAAGCAAAAAAAAAAAAAAAAAAAGTACAAGTATGCTTAACTGAAGAAACCTGTTGGGCATTAAGTACAGCCAGAAGGAATCTAGCTAATGAATTAAATGGATTTAAATTTATGGAAGTTGCCTACGCTTTAGAAAGGTGACCATTCAGGTTTCAGTGCCAAATGTTCCAGATGAGAAGGGGCCATTAAGAATTTGCTCAAGTACTTCCCTTTTTTACTGTCCAAAAGTGGTGGTGGTATTTTTTTTTTTTAACTGTTTTGACAAAGCTAATCACCTTCTTGAAAAGATGATCAAGGCCACAAGTAAGAGGAAAAAACCTGGGCAGATTACAAAAAAAAGCACTGGTAGAATCAAGTGTGATGGCATAACACTCCTTGGTCCGTTTTGTCAATAATGACATAAGGCTCCTGGATTTCATTTACTTTTGAATTATAGTTCTCCAGCTTTACTTCACTGGATTCGGGAGAGTCATATTCAGGCTGCAAGAGGTTCCTTTTGCCCTGTGTGCTGGTCCTTCTTATGCGTGAAGACCGAACATCAATACTTTGTGGTGGAATGTAGGTGAGGTTAGGGGGCTCTCTAATGTGTCTGAAGCACTCAGAAGCTGTATGTGCATTAGAAGTATCCATTAATAGTCTCTTGCTATCAGAACCAGTAGTGGAATCCTCCATGTCCCCAGTACAGCATAGATCTGAAGACGGCTCAATATGTGCAGCTATTCTGTTCTGCATCTGAGCATTAGTCAGATATGTATGTTTTATTTTGGAGTGATTAAATTGTCTTACATGCCTGTCACTTGTACTTGCATATGATACTGACTCAGGGTGGCCAGTTTCCTCTACAGGATACATAAGGTCTTCCTGAGTGTCTTTGATTTGTAGTTTTGTGAAGGTTAAAGACAGCTCACAAACTTCCTCTTCCTTAGGGACAGTGCAGTTTTGGACAGGTGCAATGTCCTTGTACGGCAGAGACTTCAGCTCATTGGGTTCATCTGCAGGGTCCGGGTCTATGCAATTTATGGCATCGTTAATTTCTGCTTCGACTGACTCTTCAGGGACTTCTTGAGCTTTGTATTCCAAAGTGTTTTTGCTGTCACAAGAGCTGTCAGCAAATATTGCAAAGGCTGGCGGACCGCTTGCTCCTGGTGAGAGCGGCACAGGCCTGATCTCATTTGCAGTTGACTCTGCAGTGACTGCCAAAACACATTCTTCACTTAGACTGGCTCTTGGCTTTTTTTCAAAAGCTTTTGGAGAAAGATTCTCACTGAAAATAGGTGTTTGTCTTATAACAATGTCACTATATTTGCTCAAGAAATCCTCGCTGTCTGAGCATTTGCCCGGAAAATGTACGGTGTTAATGACTTGCCTTTGGTGTTCCTGAAGCCTGTTAGTGGACTGAGTAACTGCTAACTGAGGCACGTCATCTTTGATCTTCAGATTCCCAGCAGCTTCAAAGGATATATCGCTATTAGTTGACGACTTCTGTTGAGTAGCAAGGCACAAAGATGTCTCACTGTTTTCTTTATTTTCTAGATTTTCAGCGTCTTCTCTCTGGGGTGTCTGATCCTCTTTGTCCTTATCTCCATGATGCTGGTGCATTTGTGTTCTCTTCTGTAGGGTCTTCTCCAAATTGCCATGTTTTTCTTCATTTGTCATTTCGAGGATGGTTTCACACTCAATTCTTGCCAGGAATATTTCAAATGCAGTCTGTTTTGTTTCCTCATTGTTTCTCTTTTTGACAAGTGAAAACTCTGTTCCTGTTGTTGCAATGTAACCTATTTTCTCCAGTACTGTTTTTACAATCTCATCTGGGAGCACAGATTGAATATAGTAGACAAAATTACCGGTGAATGTCTGAAACAGAATGCAACATTGAAAAACAGATGAATACTGGGGGGGTGTGGCGTGGAGGGAAGTGTGAAAGACTTTCTAAAAATCAAAAGTACTTCAAAAATTACTTAAATCTTCAAAAAACCTACATTCTTAAAAGTCTGAATTTTGAATCTGAGTGAGGCTTTTCTATCAGCATTATTTTGTCAGCCTCTCAAGCATGATAGCTTTGCAACAGCACATTAATTTCAGTGAAGTTATGCCAGCTTAAACCTGCTTATATACTGGCTGAGAGCATCAATATTCAAAAAGGAAGAGAGTAAGAAAATCATTTTAGTCAAACTAGAGAAACTCAGAAATAAGTCTGATGTGCTCTACTGAAGAACGGAAGATTTTTAAACAAACTAAAGATTCATAGAATAAATCACTGAGGTCTAATCTTTTCCTAAAGAAACAGACATGATGCACTCACTGTTAATCGCATTTCTTAACTGGTGACAAGACTGTAACATTTTCTTTTTCCATGGTTCAGACTCCTGCTCTAACTTTACGACCCCCAAATTAAATCGCCATTTCTCTGAAAGCACCTTTTTGAAGGGAGACAATTCTAGCAGAAATATTGCCAAAACACGCTCTCTTTGCACAAGCTGTCTGCAAAACATGACTTGAATAAAATGTTGCTGCTGTGTAACAAAAAATGGTTCAATATTTGCTCGGTTTTGGAACTACCCCGGCATGAGGCCTAGTTCGTAAACTGGAAGTGGTTTTTGGTTTTGTCTGAAATGCTATGATAGGACAGACTATGTTGACCTAAGCATGACCAACTCCAGGCAAGTCAGAACAGAATGGGGGTAGGAATGCAAAGTCAAGACTTCCAGAATCGGGGCACCTTTATTTTCAAGGCTGCCCAGCTTGAGACTGCCTTACCTACTTCCTAAGGCTGAGACCTAAGCACTGGTCTCACAAGCACAAGCCTGGGGGAGAACAAAACTGACCCCAAAAAAGGCCGCTAACCTAAAAGGCCATAGTATAATGTAGCACTAAGCCTCAGTCCATTTTCAGATAAAGTTGTCAACAGTGCCTTTAGCTCCCCAGCTTCTGTTCCTTCTAGAGGGGAAGTAAGGAGCAGGCATTACGGGAGGGTGACATCAGAGTGGCTGAGAGGAAGGAAATAGGTGAAGTAGTATTCTGCGTACGACCAGCAACTTTTTATCAAACCTGGATGTACACAAGACACTAGTTGTTCTCCAACTTGTGCCTTGCAATAGAATTATTTCAGGCCTTCAGCAGGCTGTCTTGCACTTTGGATTACCCACGGTGGTCTTCAAAATTTGATTTTAATGAAGCCTAGGATTCTTGTGTTATGAAAGGCTGAGCCCGCTAACTGTAGTCCTGAATACCTTATGCTTTGCCCTGTTTTAGGGAGATGAATGAGGAGAATAGAAATCTACAGCTGTTTGAGAATCCGCAGGTGAGACCTCAGGGCAGGAAGAAGGAAAGAAATGGCCTTTCCTCACCAGCACCTGTTGCTGTAGGAAGGGAAGTTAAGTTTGCATTTTGGGTGTTCAGGGATTTTGCTTAAATACAAATAGATTTTGCATGTATTGAAGATTGCTGTCTCTTCTGGGCAATGAGATGTGTTCAGTGTGCTAGGGAAGCACGGTAACCTTGACCACCTTGCTGCAAAAAGCAACAGCATTTTCTCTTTTGAAGGGGGTTTTCCTACCCACTTCACCAGCTGCAGTCACCAGAGGTAGGATAGGTGGTAAAATCTCTGGACCAGAGAGACAGTGGTCCACCTAGCCTTTGGCATCGAACTGCTAGCAAAAGTGACAACTAATGCAAAAAAGCATCTCCTCTTTATAGGCAAATCAAGGTTAAAACTCAGAGTAATGAGACTCCAAGCCTTTCATTGTACTTTTTTACTTCTCTACCGTCTCGCAATAACCGAAGGTCCCTGTTTCCAAACCCTTCAACTGCTCAGCACTCTCGGGAAGGCCCTGAAGGCCCGGCCTCAGCGAGGACAAGGCCTGCAAAGGCCCACGAACACCTCGCAGCACCCTCGCCCCGTTCAGGGCATCCCTAACCCATTCAAAATGGGCTCCTAAACGCTGCTCCGAACTCCCCGGGGCGCGGGCGCCGCT